GTCGAAAGCTAAACAAAACTTTCATGTAATTCGCAACCACGAAACGTCATCACAAATTAGGGTTCTCAGAAGTATACAATGTTGTTGCTTTGTTCGAGGTTCAGTTAAACACATGGGATGTCCCTAATTTAATAGTAGGTTGGAAGTTATCTTTACCCCCTGTTGTAACATCGGGGAGTGCCCGAAAGCGTGATTTAATGCTACCATTTATTTACGGATGCACCCTAACGTAGTTACTTTTAGGCGCAACATCGTAAACTGCAAATAATTTTGCCTAGACAAATATTTTCTGACAAATTATCTCCGTCGATTAATCAGGTACCGTTCGTTAATTAACGCCGGAATCTATTTATCCGGATTCATTTGCATTTCTAGCGGGCTAAGAAAACGTTCCGTGTTCCATACCTTCGAAAGGATCTATGATAATCGGCAGCTCATTAATTACTTTTATCGGACCGGTTGCTTAATTAGTAATGTATTTGTAGGGGGAAATCGACAAAATTTATTTGTAGTCGTCTGATAAAGTGCAAGCAATAAATACGTCTCGAAGTATGTTAATTCCTCGGTAACTTATTTATACTCCTGCTGCTACTTCAAGGTAGAAATAACAAGTCAATTATACTCGGTTTATGTTCACGTTTGGGTTACAAATCAAAACTTGAATGTTATTCAAAGGAAAAATTGGTGATCAGAGAACAAAAAAATTAAATCTTAAAAGAATTAAAAATGATTTCGTTATTTGGACAATCCCTTTAACCATAACTTACTCGTTTACTATACCTACAATATTGAAACATGTTTTAAAAGACCTTGGTTCAAAGAGTAGGTGGTGGCGTTGGAATCGCATCGCGTGTATATCGCTGGGCGATAATTTACAGCAATATCTGATGAGTGCCAATTTATGCGGAGCCCTTGCTAATAAAGCCCGCAGGCCTGAAAAAGGCTTACAAGGAGGCAATAAACGTCTTCCGATCGACGAGGTAGGTGTCTTAGGAGTCTGCGCCAATTATCCTTTTAAGACGTTTAATCGAAATCGAAAGTATTTACGACTACCGTATGCATAAAACCGTAATTTATACGTCGTAAATTTAATTTCGTCGCTTAATTTTCTTTTCAAAAATCAATTAATATCGGACAATTTGACCAACTATCGATTCGTCGGGAGTCGCTTGTTCCCCGAAAATATCTTTTGGACGTCGTTGCGACGTCTGGAAGTAGTAAAGTAAAGTATTTTTGGAAGGGTCCAAAGGACGGCGTCGCGTCGTTACATTTTACGGCCGGTCATAATCTCGACCATATCGACAAATCACATATTGAAATGTAATCCGATAAACCGTCTGGCACTCGCGCAGTTTTTTTTTTTCTTTTCAGAGATTTTCATCAAAACGCTTCATTTATTGTAGCCACCAAGTACTTGACTTTACAGTTTTATTACTGTTATTTTGTAACCTAATTAATGTCTTAAGTGATAATCGGTTTTTTAATTGGATTTTCCTTATTAGGTCACGCACGCGATAAATTGGCAAAAAATTTACACGTCCGTTGCATTTTAATCAGGTTTTTTTTCTTACAACCTTCGCTACAATAAATTACTTGGGAGAAAATCAGTTCTGTATATAGAACGATTCAAAAGTAGAAATCTTAAAAAAAGATTGAAGTAGTCTCAATGATAAATAATCATTTTGATTCTAGTATACAAATTATTATTTTGCACAGCTGACCATACAAAAGTTATCGTAGAAAATATTGTCATTTAAGTCATTCTCTTGTATGATTTTCTTGCTTGATCCTTTTGCTTTGCCAAATTATGTAATTGATGAGTGTACACATGGCCCTTTAAGTAATTGAATGGAAACAAGCACATGATTGCATGAAAAGTGTTCTTGAAGACACCCAAGTGGCACTATCCAGCTAGAAATAAACTTTTGTCAAGTTCAATCGTGGTCTTCGCATTTCCAGTTACACTATTTTGCAGTTTGCCACAAAACAAAAATTCTCTACATTGAAGCATCTGGGAGTAAAAATGTTGCAGGGTATTGTGTTAAGGGTATAATTTGCTACAACTTTTGTTGTAAATAGTTTCTCTGTATCATGTTCCTGATACCGATTTGTTTAACACTCTTCAATTTTCATACTTTTGAAAAATTATCTTCATTGATGCATCTGGGAGTAAAAATGTTACAGGGCATTGTGTTAAGGATATAATTTGCTACAACTTTTGTTGTAAATAGTTTTTCTGTATCATGCTCCGGATACCGATTTTTTTAACACTCTTCTAATTTTCATATTTTTGAAAAATTCTCTACATTGAAGCATCTGGGAGCAAAAATGTTACAGAACATTGTGTTAAGGGTACAATTTGCTACAACTTTTGTTGTAAAATATTTTCTGTATCATGTTCTTGATACCGATTTTTTTAACACTCTTCTAATTTTATATTTTTGAAAAATTCTCTACATTGAAGCATCTGGGAGCAAAAATGTTATAGAGCATTGTGTTAAGGGTACCATTTACTACAACTTTTGTTATAAAAGTTCTTCTGTATCATGCTCCGGATACCGATTTTTTTTAACACTCTTCTAATTTTCATATGTTTGAAAAATTCTCTACATTGAAGCATCTGGGAGCAAAAATGTTACAGAGCATTGTGTTAAGAGTACAATTTGCTACAACTTTTGTTATAAATAGTTTTTCTGTATCATGCTTCTGATACCGATTTTTTTAACACTTCTAATTTTCATATTCTTGAAAAATTCTCTACATCTGGGAGCAAAAATGTTACAGGGCTTTTTTACATAAGGATAACGCCAAAATAAATGCGTACTACATTGTGACACACACAGAGTATCAGTAGATGTGTCTTTATGGTTGTAACTTGCATCATTCTTGCATAATGTTTTGACCAGCATAATCACTCCCTCCAATATATCTTAATACACGATGTCTGCAATATTATACCAGTAATGAGCCTTCATATATAAATAACTATGTTACTCAAACTTTCAGTACTAAAATAGCTATCGTTATAGGAATGAAGTATTTTGCACGGTTAATCGTGGAATGCACGTTTCTAGCGATTCATGACATATATTGCAACGATTGAACAAAAAATAGTATACTTTACTCAGAAGATAAACTGTACGTCTTGTAACGCTTTCGACTTACTTCATTCGTACAAACAAGCCGCATTTATATGGTTAGTTTGCCATTGGTGTTCATCGGTGTCACTACGTTCATCGCCAAACGACAAACCACACCATAAAAACAACTTCTCCATATAAAACAATGTACTATTTCAACTCTTAAACCGAAACGTTTTTATATTATCTTGTATCATTAATAACAGTAAACACAGTAATCACAATAAAAAGTTTGAAATTGTCTAACACTATAAAATGTTAAGTTAATAAGTTTATATTAGTTGGGGAGAAAGCGTATAATTTATTAACAAAAAAGTGGGGATGTCAAAAGACGTTGGGTATTGTAATAAGTTAAAAGCATCGATTCAGACTGGTTCCTTCAGGGTAAATGATTTAAGATCGAAAGCTTTGGGCCGGTCCATAAAATTCGAATACAGTTATCCACAGCCTTGCAATTTTCGTAATCAATTGCTGCCATTAAGTTCGTTGCGACCAGGCAGTATGAAAACTTTATTATTATAAATGGGCCTCATCGCCGGCTTGGGAATGTACAAATAAGCCAGCTAATTACACAGAACCAGTCCGACGGGAACTGTAAGTACCACCCAAAAGCTGGGGTCCCTTTCGTTCTTTTCTCACTCTCTCTTTCTTGCTATCCGCGTTGCGCCGGTGACTCCCGGATTTCTCGTAAACGACCAGATAATACGCTTAAAAGCCGGCTCCAAACGGGCCGCGTAATGAAGCAATCTCGATTGAGTTGCCTGAAAGAGTGCATGAAAAAATAATCCACGAGAGTCTCGTATTTTCTTCGTGTTTTTCTTTTTACTTTCCGCGCCGTCTTCGAAAGACAAATAACGACCATAAACTGCGTGTCTTAAACCCACATACACGTGATAAAAAGTCCGAGTTAATTAATGCTACAAAAGAGAAAATTGCAAGGATATAATCCCTTGGTAAAACAATGTTCTCACAAAAGGGCGTCCCACGCGATGTTCGAATAGTAAAGAATCGAACGTGAGGTGAATGTGGTTCGATCAAAAAGAGCCAATTTTAATTATTTTTGCATTACACTCATCCGATTATCGCCTAGATAATCTGATGTGTACCCAACTCCGGCTTATTAATATTTCATTAAATGCGAACGAAAAGAGGGGCTGAAAACGGTTCTGTGTAGGGGAGAGCTAGAAACGTGCAGTTTCAAATGATTACTTGTGACAGTTATCGCCCGAGAGCAACGTGAATATAAATTGGTAACTGAATTTGTCTAATGTGTATTAATTTTTTAACCCCCTTTTAGTTAAATTTATTACAAACAAGCAACCGCGAATTAATTTTCACCTAATCACATTAATCCACAAACGTGTTATGTTTGCGTCCTTCTTGAAATAGAAATAAACCTACATAATGTATAATCACCATGAAAAATCGTGCAAAATAAATTTAGGTTAAAGAAAAAAATATGTGAGAGTAACGTTGAAAAATGTAAGAACGTGACAATTAAATGTATGAGAAGAAACGTTAATTAGATGTAGAGGTGTTTTAACCTCGACATGTATTTGAACATCGACTATACAGTCGTGTGGCGAGATACAAGACACGGTGTCGTATTGGTATGAGGTTCTAGACCACCGACGAGATAGCATCGGTGCACTTTACGAACAGACAGTATATCATTGGTGAGCTGAGCTGCGCCTTCCGTGTCCAGGTGTTGCACACGGCTCTAAGAACTGTACCACTGTAACTAAGTAATTGCTGTTATAAATTAACTTAGGATCGGATACGAAAACAAAAAGTAATTTTTTTAGTACTTTTTTATTCTATCCTATTCAACTTGTAAGACATTGACAAATTAAGCAAGTTTTATTCACAACAGCATTCTATGGTAGCTTCTATACGTTCTCTTGTGACACATTCTTCGAAAGCCTGAAAGAGTTCAGCACATAACATCGGTTCATTAGGGTGGCTCTTGTAGCACGCGATAAGCTTTTTTGTATCAGCTGCACAAGGAACGTACGTGGATGTTTTTCCGGGTCGTTTTCCGCCCAATTCTTCAAAAGCTTTATGATATGCTGATTCCATAACGCCAGCAATCTCGTCGTGTTTTTTCTGCATTTGTTTGACGCGGTCACCCCAGTAATCCTTTTTAGGAGGTTCTTTATCTCGTCCTTCTGCTTTGTCCATGTCTTTCATAATTTTGGTAATTTCTGGAGGTAAAGGCCCGCCTTTACCGCATTTAGTATCCCCTTCATTTACTAGAATAAGTTTTCTAGTTCTACTTCCTGATAAACCCATTTGAAATTTCTATTAAATCAAGCCTAAAAAAGCGTATTCTTTTGGATAGAAGGACGTTAATACGTCAAAATGAATATCGATGACATAAATGCATTGACAATTTTTTTTAATTTCTTAAAGATAGGTTATCTATAAAAGTCTTTGTAGCACCCACGCTAGAATGTGAATCTAATAACCCGATAAATCAACGTCGGAGATGCACGAAGAAGAATTTCCGTAATTCTTGTAAACCTTAACGAAGGTCATCAATTCGAAGGCGAGAGAGTCGTTCATCTAAATTTTCCAGGTATCCATTATACATGTACGAGTTGGAGAAGTTGCTGTTGTGATATCGAGCCGATTTTACGTTGCATTTCGAATAGGAAACTCTAATATCGAGCAGTTTGACGATAATATCCACGTTAGAAGAAAACGACGCGATAAGAGGGTAATAATACCACGACTCTCGCGGTGCGGCCTAATGGAATAATAACTGGGTACAGTTATGTACTCGACGGTGGAGTCGAATTTTAACGCTCAGGCACGAAGTCTTCATTCCATTTATCACGACGAGCAATTAAGGTTTAACGGTAATGAGAAAATTGCGATAGTGAGCTTCTAGGAACTGTCTTAAGCGATCACTTGTGTGGTCAAACTGCAAAGATCTTTAATCTATGAGCGTTATGTTGACCGAAAAAAAAAGAGTACTTACTACCAGACTGAACGTTTCTTTGTAATCACAATTCGGGAAGCGACCGGAAAAGATATGATAATAACAATAATAAAAGTACGGCCTGTAACGATCCAGTTTTTATGTGTTTGCATTTAAGTGGCATCATAAAACGGCATCGGGCCTTTATGGATACTAACTGTACGCCCCTGCAGCTTTATTAAGGACGTAAAAGGCGTTATATTGTGAAACATATAAAAGCCCTTATCGTTACCGAATCGAAGATCCTGGTTAATGGAACACGTAACGCCTCGAAACCGTAACTTTTGTTATTACGATTCTTATATTTATGGATTTTTATTTTTATGTTATCTGAAAAACCATTCATTTCGTTTTTAGTCATTCTTAACATTAAAAAATTAATTTTTTTGCTTACGGTCCATCTACTGCAGATGTCTAATCTGCTCGACCACGGGTAATATTATGGTTCGCTTATGTGAAGGGAAGCAACCTACACACAAAGACTCCCTTCCGGATATGATATATGCCATCGATCTGTCAATAAATGTAGCGGCCACAGCGGACATCATCTGCAAGCTGGCTCCCCTTGTCGGGGAAGTCGAGATTTATGCACCGGGCAGTAAACGCTCATATTTGCAATCAAACCCGGTCGGTCCACATAAAATCTACCCTCCTCCGGTCGTAAAACGTCGCCCCCACCTCTCCAACTCCCGTGGTAGTTACAAATTCCAAATATCCAGCTTAGGAAAGCGTACAGTTCTTTCGTTCTCGTAACATTATCTAAAGCGTCGATCGCTCGCCGTATCGTTCAGGTATAAATCCCGAACGAGATGGCAATCTTTGCGAATGAATAAGCTCGGTCGCCGTTCTCCACTTTGCCGCACTAATAAGCTTATCAACAATTTTAACTTTTACTCCACGCTATATTTCGCAAGACTGTGCTTGTTCGTGCGAAAGTGCTGTAACCACAACGTACATATTTTAATAATTTCATATTTGATATTGCGTAGAAAAAGAAATAGGTATTCAAAAATACGACAAAGTCGTCGCGTGTCCGTCATCAATCCGTCTTATTACGCGTTCGCCTGCATTAATTTTGGCCCTTAGATCGATGATGGAAGCTAGAAAATAGGTAGGGCCGTTCTTCAAAGAAAATAAGAGGGACCATATAACGGAAATCCCGGAGTCGTGCTTATCAGTCATAAAGCGTGTCCGCTGATTCATACAGCAGCTGTCTTAGTGGCCTTTTATTAGTCAGAATTCGTTCGAAAATAATCGATAAGAAACGTTTCTGTTTTATTTAATCTCAAATTTCCCACGTTTTGGATTTACACAAAGATCCACTTGGAATTGTCTCTTTCGTTTACCTCGCCAACAATAGTCGTAGATCATTTCCAGGTCATTGATTGTCGAGGTTCTCGAGCGAATATCCACAGTGCGCGGAGAGGCACAATGAACGTTCGAGGAACAGGTTGTTGAAAGTTTAAAGCGCGCGACGGCCCGGTATGTTCTAAATTACACTTAGCAGCGTCGAACGGCCGTAAACATAAAGCGAGAGGACCGGTTACCATTTATTCAAATCCGCTGTGTGCTTGCTGCGCCTCGCTCTTCTTCGCCTTTACACTCACTCAAATGATTTACGTTGACAATTCTTTGCTCGTTTATTAACCCAAAGTGTCCACTTGATTACGAATAGTGCTTTATGGATTCATGTTCTGTTTTACCTTCTATACACGTTATTACATTTAAGTATATTTTCCATACTTGACATGTACTTATTATGTAAAATATTAATTAGGAGTTTGGACGCTGGATTCGATATATCAACACGAAATTGTCAGAGTTGGAGGATTCTAGCACTTCGCCCGTAAGCAACGGTTTAAATGTCTTCTTCTAAGAAACTTTGTATCTTCACCAAGATATATAAGGAATGATTTTGCCTGAAACTGCCGAGGTTGCTTGCGGGCGAAGCGCTGGATTGGATACAATACCAAAATCGTCTGCGTTGAAGGATTCTAGCGCTTCGCCCGCAAGCAACCTCGGTGGTTTGAGGGGAAATGTCTTCTTATAAGAGACTTTGTATCTTTACCACGATATATAAGGAATGTTTTTATATATTAACACGAAATCATCAGAGTTAGAGGATTTTAGCGCTACTTCAATCATGGCTGGATTAGCATTAATAACTTCTAATTCGACTAAAATTGAATCGATTTTCTTCGTCACCGGATGAAAAAAACCTAGGATTATTATGGCTAATAATTCTTTTACTCAATCCGCGTAGCGTAAAGTGTTAAGATCCAGGTGAAATTTCCTCTATCATACAACTTCTAGAATTTTCCCCGTTAAAAACATTTCTTAAAACTTGGGTTAATTTACTCCCTCTAAATCAGTGGTTCTTAACCTGTGGGTAATTACCCTTTGGGGGTTAAATGTCAATATGGGATGGGTAACCGAGCCACACTGATTTCTACATTTTTTTAGTAAACTGGTTCGTAAACTACAAGAATTACTACTATTAATTTTGATGCAACTAATGCGATAAAAAAACAACAAAAGAAAAATTATGGCAGAGTGAAACACAAGGCGACGCACATCTTATTCTTTTTGTTAAACTGTAATGTGATCTTATAAAACCTTGCATAGTAGATGCAGTAAAGTTTGTTATGGGCGAGCAATATGTTGCTAAAATTAATGAAATATCTCTCTCGCCCAGCACAATTAAAAATCGTATTGAAAGAATGAGTAACGATATTTTGGCCACAGTCATATCGGAACTAAAAGATTTTTTTTTGCACTGTAGTTGGATGAGTCAACTAACGTGTCTACTTGTTCACAATTACTCGCTTTCGTTGGCTACTTAAACGATGATCGTATTAAAGAAGAATATTTGTTTTCTAAATCGCTACTCACCACTATGCGCGGTAAAGATGTTATTCTTACTCTAAAACAATTTATTGAGGAAAATGATCTGAAGTGGTCATCGTTAGTTGGCATATGTACTGACGCTGGTCCTTCCATGATGGGTATTCGTTCTGATTTTTAAATATTTGTGAAACAAGTTACCTCACAATGCTCACCTTATTATTGCATGATACATCGATATGCCTCGGTTGTTAAGATGCTACCTTCTAATTTCCTGAGGGTGTTTAATACAATAGTGAAAATTTGTAACCATATTCGGATCACTGCCACAAATTAGAGAATTTTCAGTGTTATGTCATAAAGCCGTTGCGAAATTTTATGCAATTGTGTTCGCTGTCAAGGAAAAATGTTTTAAACAGGTTGTTTCAGATGCGCAAGGAAACAGCTTTGTTTTTTGAAAATCGTAAAACAGAAAAGGAGAAGAACTTTTATACAAAAATAAAAGACTTCACTCATTACAAGGAAATATAAGCAACATTCTGATAGTGCAAGATAGGATTGCTAGTTGTTTGCGAATACAAGAACTTTACAAACGTAGAGTTCAAGTTGGTGACATATCGATGTTCATGTATTTTTCCGAAATATTAAGCACATACAACGAAGAAATATTTCACTAATTCTATAGACCAGCACCTATCTTCTTTGATAAATTCGTTGAACCAATATTTCGCGGACATAGAGAACCGTCAAGCTTTATCCTAGACACTGAGACTATTTTTTACAGATGAAGATGTTTCAGCAAATTTCAGCTTCTCAAACTACGCGAATAGTACATCACAAATGGAATTCCAAAATTGTGACTTAGCTACGTTTTGGACAAAAAAACAGAGCGAATATTTTATTTTAGCTGACAAAGCTTTAAGAAGTCTAGTCCCATTTGGGAATACATATAGATGTGAGAGCGGCTTTTCAACTTTGATTTCTATCAAAACAAAATCTAGGAATCGATTCAGCGTAGAGCATGACTTGTGATGTCTTGAAAATATTTTGTTAAGAAGAAGCAAAATCAACCATCCCATCAATTATTATTCAAAATTTATGTGTAATATATTTAATAATAATAACATTATGGTATTTTTTATGAAGAGGTAAATCCCCAGTCCCGGGCAGGTCATAATGATGGTGAAAAGGTTAAGAAACACTGCTCTAAATAGACAATGAGCACATTTTCTTCCTCAAGCTCTAATACATTCTTTTAATATCAAAAGACCTTTATTTATATCTCCTCTGTCTGTGATTCTAGTTCTGCTGCCATAATTCTCCGTTTATCATCATCTTTTCTAATGATTATTTCAGCGGAAATTTGTCCTAACATTATTTCCCTTTTGAATTTAATCATGAACATCTCTTTAACGTTACATTTTAGTTCAATGTTTTCGTAATAATAAATTTATGTGAGAACATC